CATATGATACCTACACCCACTTGCAGCCACCCTAAGCCCCGTAGAGCAATATTCCCAGAGTTGGGACAAACCCAGACATTTTCATAATATTATAATGACTATGTGACAAAAAATTCCCAGAGAATTGCATAACACGACACCACTATTATGTGAACCGCTAAGCTCGCTCTGATTACGGGGAACCATTGGGGGCACAACTCCGGCTCAGCACAGTCCAAATACTGTAGAGGATTTGTATCTCATAAGCAGCTGAGAGAAACGAACTGCGGTACTAGTACGAGCTCTAAGGTTGCGAGGTGGACCAGTTACCCAGAGACAGTCGGTAAAGTGTCGAGCTCGATAGAATGTGGAAGGTGCAAGCACCGCCTCTGTAACACTTTCAAGCAAACAGTGCCCATACCTTGGAACTGCAGCTAGCAACCTCACCTCGACCGAGCAGCATCGCTTTAGTAGTCTGCTGTCCACTTTTGTATAGACCCCGCCAAACCAGGCGCGAACTTACATTATGAACCAAGCCGTCTCGCCGAATACCGCCATGAACACCCTCGAATCATAGCATACATTCTATGATTCAGTGCAATGGTAATAAGTAGGGAATGTGCCAAATCCCTCCGGTGGAAATGTACTCACGAGTGATCACCAATGATGGAACTGACCCTGTCACCACCAGCCAGGCAGCCCAAAGAGGTGAGTGAGCAAACAAGATATGCCCTAAATTAGATTAGACACAAGATGGTGTTAATCCCCATACTCGAGAACTCCCTGATATCGGGTGTATCAATCCTATGTTCACCTTTCGCTCTCCCGCCGTTCAACTATTCATGAAAAAAATAAAAATCCAACTTTATCTCGGCACCAAGATACATATAGCGAAGAAGAAGAATAGCGTATATAACTGTTGGATTCGAAATGCTTTCGACAGGATGATTAACAGGTGATTTTTCGGTTTAGCGCTAAATTGCTCAAAATAACTGGGGGAATCATAAATACTAATGAGGAGAGGTAAAGGTGCTAAGCAATGAGACTAGTGTATGGAATAATTTTCATCCCAAACGGTAAATTCTATGTTGATATTATCGTGTAAAACCTCTTTATCTTGATATCACAGTACAGTACACTGCCGCAACATCCCCAACTCGCATGTACGTACCCGGCCTCCATGCATTAGACTTGCAGTCTTCCTACACCCCGGATATTTCACTGTCAGAAGAAAATTTGCATACCAAAAAGGCACAAAAGCCAGACAAGTCGGCCAAAGTAAATTGTACTTGATCGCTATCAATCTTAGAGTCTGGCCTATGATAGAGCTTTACAAACCTGTTCGGATAGCCCCGTTCTCGGGATGAACCCCTGTGATTGGCACCCCGCCACCGCTACGATTCAAACATACCATACCACAAGCATTCTCACGAGATTGGCCGAACACAAGCTCGAGTACAATAGCAAAAGCGGGAACGCAGGCGGGGTCTTGACCTCCTCAGCCCGAGCGAGATTGGGAAGATGAATGGAGTTCGTCTTTTCGAAACTCTGCCCACTTTGACACATGCCCGTACCGGTTTTGAATTGGTATTTAAGTATCTCGTTATTATTTTTCTTATGATATTTTGTTCTCGTTTCTGGCTTGAGGCTTTTATCTACCCTAGGTGTTTTCCTGGACGCAGCGGTTTCTGCGGTGCTGCACCCTGGCGAAGTGACTGGCCGGTACACTACCTAAAAAAAAGGGCTCTGACAGAGCTAACAAAGAAAGCAACATGCACGGACATCCGACGTATAACTCCGCCAATCCACTACCGCATTTCCAGAATCCATTATATGGCATTTTCTTGCAGCAATCGCGAGGGAGAAAGACTCACTGATGGATAACCTGATATCCCATTATCCAAGCTAGCAAAACACCAGAAAAGAAGCAAAATGGATCATTACCACGCGCACGCCAACCGCAGCATCTCCTCCAACCCCAAACTTTAAGCTGCAGAAACCCAAGTACAGTATTTCCCGCCCGCACACACCATCCGTGAGACAAACTATCCACCATACCACACCATCCAGCAAATCAAATCACTCTCCAGCTTCCTGCCTTTCACCATCCCCTCCGCCCCCGTCAGCCACCCCACCACCACCACCGCTACCACCACTAGCACCACCCGCAACATCCCCACCCCCATTCTCACTTCCACTACCACTACTACCTCCACCGCTACCCCCACCGCTATCACCACCTTCCGCATCCCCTGATGGACCCTTTTTCTTCCCCCGCTCCTGCCGCTTCGCCTTCCGGCGCCGGTGTATTAGAAATGCTAACCCGGCCATTGAAATTGCGATTACCGCTAGTAAGAGGATTATTACGTGGACCTATCGGGGTGAATTGAGTATTCAATATCTATCTATACGACGGTAATAAGAGGATGGGGGGGGGGGCGATACGCCTGTGAATCCTGTATCTCTCGACTTTTTTGCCATTGAGATTTTGATTCGAGAGTAGGGTATGTTGCTGTAGCGGGGATGCTTTGGGGGTGGGTGGTGTATATATAAAAACAGGGAGAGACAGGATTGTATTTTGATTTCACGGGATAGTATGTCATTGAGGAGTTGCTGGACGGAGTATGCTATTGAGATGGGGTCTTTGTTTTTTTTGTGGGGATGCGTAGAATGAGGGACCTCATACTAACTAAGGAAAATCATATATTGTTCGCCGGGGGGGGGGTGATCAGATACATTGGGCGATTCGCTTGCTATTAAGTGCAGTGCACTGAAAGAATTTCCCTTAGCCAGGTATCATATTCGGCACCTTCCCTTCCAGATATAACCCGGATGCGCGTTAGGTGCTCTGCGGCCACTATCGACCCCGCACAAAATGGCTGGTGGAGAGGGGGTCGAATATCCGCAGATGCATAGCTAAAGCAATCATTCACTATGCACCGCTTTCCCACCAGCCGGTACCCACGCTTAATCACCCGTTATTTATTCCAGATGCCTCTAATAAGGCCGGTGCAGGTCCGGTTTTCCTCTGACCTTTCAGAGCGCGCGCGGGTACGGTAATATGTATCTCTTGGTGGCACCGCGGATATATATAAGTGCCTATTCGAGTTCGCCCCGAAACAGCCGACTGAGATGGATCGCCGGTGGAATGTCATATCTGCCGGCAGGGAAACAGCAAGCAAGGGCACACGCACCCCACCCTCTCAAAAGATGGGCCCGTTTCCGTTGCGAGATTTCGAAACGCCCGAAATTCAGGTACAGCACTCGTACAGTACTAGTACCATACAGCTCCGGATATTATTAAGCTAACTCACTTCCCTTCTCACCTATCACAATATTATTATCATAATAATATAATAACCAAACTTATCCATCGTGGGTGTATGGGGCAAACAAACTTCTCAAATCATGAACACTCACTCGGAAAACTTGTCCCGACTCTTGTATGCCAAGTCTAATTCGCTGGCTACGTACGGTACGGGCCAGAGACAAAACCTCCCTCCCAAGAGAGATTAACTCAGTGTAGCGTGCGAGCCCTCCGGAGAATGCAAGAGGTATGATATGATATGATGCCCAGCAAACCGAAACCCACAAGTATGCTGTAGGGGCTGGGCTGACGGTAGTCTAATCTGGTATTTATCATACCCACCGCACGGTAGCGAATTCTAAGAGTTCCCACGGCATCGCACAAGTATGGTATCATACAGCACCAGCCCTGAGCCGCCATCCGCACACGCTGTAGCCCAGGCTGGGGAGGGGAAGAGAAGATGAAAAAAAAAAAAAAAAAAAAAAAAGCAAACATAACTAACCGACTACATAACTCCCCGATAACCCACTAGTTTCCTGCACACATCACCCGGCAGACTACGAGTTTATCACCAAAAAGCCTTGCTAACTCTTTTTTTAACCCCCCTTAAATTGCAGATTAACAGCATCCCTTACTTGAGCGCAGCGCACGCCTAACTTAACTCTTGTAATATCATAGTCGGGATCACACCGCAAAAAGCGCCGGACACAGCTTTTCTTTTTTCACGCTTCCTGCATCCAGCCCTTCCTCGAACCGGTGAGTGCGGGGCGCTGGGGTACAGCACAGTAAAATCAGGCTCCGGCATATTTCAGCCTTGATTGTGTCACCTGCAGGCAGAGCTGATACTGTAGCTGATACTGTAGCTTGTACGAGTAATCCGCGCGCCGCCAATCACGGATGCGATGGTTGAGGCTCTGCTGCTGGGCTGTGGTTTTTTCTGTAATGATATGGTGTTGACAATTGCAACCGCAGTCTTTCTACCGTATGCAAGTACCTGTAGCGGTGTACTGTACTGTACGGTACTTAGGTACAGTACTCGTACAGTAGGCACAGATCGGTACTGCGCTTGGGGTGTGCGCAAAAGTCTGCCGAACTGACTCTCATTGGCCGAGCTTGGGTGGAGAGCATACAATTGGTTGATTTCCTCGCGATTCGGTGAAGGAAAAAAATCTGTCCAACTCTTGGCGAAGTATGATACCTGGAGCAGATACTCGAGTACTGTACTCGTACTGGTCTCTGAGTGGGCAAGAAGGTTAGAGCCAATATCGCGAGGTTCGACAGACTTGCCCACAACCCCCGGCACTGTACTGTATAGATATACTCGAGTACGGTAGCGGTAGAGGATACATTTTCCGAGTACCCGTATCTTACTTGGAGCGATATCTTGGCGGGTACTGTACTGTACCCAGATTCATATGATACCTTCTGATGCTAAGACTACCAGTATATTACCGAGAAATCCCCAAAACTTGTCCGTGATCTCTGGACGTGAGTATATAATATTATGATGGAAGTTAATTCATTCGCTCCCTCGCCGTTGAATATTAGGGCTCATGGTAGTCGAGTAAGTACGGGTTGGAAACAACTGCAGTATGATAGCTTTTAGTGAGGTTCGCCTACAAAACTGTCCCCTCGTCTGGGTTCCCCCTTGTTGGGGGAGGTGAATGGAGGGGATACCGTATTTCGCACGATAGGAATTACAACGGCTCAGTGATCGGGTCCGGATATATTGAATTTGTAGCGACAGAAGATGCAATGAAGAGAAGAAAAATTTTCTGGGAGGGGGGGAAAAAAAGAGGGAACGGAGGAAAGAGGTTGAAGATGTCATAATGCTCCACCAAACGCTCCAGAAACACCGGGGGAGAGCATGAAGGGGTATCATCTCGGCGTAAATACAAAAAAAAAAAAATACAAAAATCCTGAAGAGAAATCACGGGCAACTCTACTAGTATGTCCTGCGACAAACACCCTCAAGCCCTTAGTTGGACGTTTCCCCTTTAATTTCGGCATCTAGTTTCGCCAGATCTGCAATCTGTCTTGTCCGCAACCTCTTGTGAAGATCAGCTCCGATGAGGAAATGGGGTGACGACGGCTTGTTGGTGATCCAGGGCAGCTTCAAGCACTCCCCGGCCGACGGTCGGCTCTTCGGATCGGGTTGTAAAAGCGCGGCCAAGAAGCCGATAGCGTCCCGGCTGAGCCCTATGTTTTCGACGCCAGCCGGTGGGAATTGCCCCCCCATGGAGTACTGCCAGACATCTCGTCTGCCTCCGAAAGGGACATGTCCGGTCACTGCTCTGAACATAATACAGCCCAATGACCACACGTCGACCCCCTGTGTGTACGCCGGTTGCATATCATCCCCGTCGACCTCTGGAGCCATGTACGAGATTGTGCCCGCGGTTGTGTGGAGGAATGTCGCGTTGTTGTTTACAGGGATACGTTTTGAGGTGCCAAAGTCGCCGATCTTTACACGAAGGGCCGGTTGGTCTGGGTCTGGTAGCCAGAGAAATACGTTCTGGGTTGTGGGGGGTCAGTATATCGACGCGGCTGGCTGGGGGGAAACAAAAAAAAAACAAGGGCGTGAACACTGTCTTGGGAGGAATGACAGACCTCTGGCTTGAGATCGCGATGGGCAATCCCCTTCTCGTGCATTATTGCCACCCCCATTAGTAGCTGCTCCATTACGACATGCACATCGTTTTCGCCCCATTTGTAATCTGCGAAGCTTTTCGACATATCCCCCAGCGGTAGATATTCCATGGCGATGTAGACATGATGTTCGTCCTCGGTGGATTTGATAAACTTGACGAATAGCTCGTTCTGCGGGACGTCAGAATAAGATCCTATGGATATATCCCCTACCCTCTCTTGGTCCCTCAACTATGGTGCTGGATATGGTTTCCGTTCAACATACCTGCTTTAGCGCCCCCAAAAGCGCAATCTCCTTCTTATACTGCTCGGCGGGAAAACTTTGAACGCCTTTCGGGATTCTCTTGACGGCCCACAGTTCATATTCGGTAACCCCATGACGACTCACCTCCACCTGCTCCAAAAACACGGCCCCGAAAGTTCCTTGACCGATGCCCACGTTCATTTTCCACTCCGACTCCACAGCCCTGCTAAGGCCACCTCCGGGGACGATAACGCCATTGACGATGTTCTGCGTCATCGCGGGAACTTGGTTACCGATAGCACCTCTACCAAAGACGCCCTCAAGGTGATTTATCAGTTTGTTGGGATCGAAGCCGCCGCCGGCCGCGCCAAACGGGAAACCTGGGGGGAAGGGCGTTGGCCACGGAGTTTTTCCATCTTTCCGGTACGTACCCGCGCCATTGTAACTATGACTCACGTTAAAACTGTTGGTATTGCCGCTGAAGAATTGCCCGGGTTTTTGGTCGGCCATGACGATCGGGTCAGAGGATGGGTATATTCGGTGGGTAAACTTGAGCGATGGGAAGGTAGGAAGTTGCGGAACAGAGTGATGGTGGAGGCGTGTGAGATGGGGCTGAGAACTACTCTATACATGGGGAAGTGATCATCCCCACGGGCCATTTTCTAATAGTTAGGCAGGCAAGCCAAATACCTATCAGCAGGTAACTTGACACCCAATTTGGAGCTACTCTATGCCCAAGAGCTCTGTTGGGCCTTGGCATACACCAGTCGTAAAATTCGATTTAAAATAATAAACCGATTACTTGGAAGCGCGGAGAGGTGCACGTCTCACCTACCCTAATAGCCAAATTAACTTGTGGCAAGAGGCATGACTCGAAGCTGTGGCGAAGATATCATACCGTATATATGATATGATACGGTAGTCTACTGTAGGTTTCGAACAGTTAAGGCGCCAAAGTTGGTAGAGATTGGCGATAGCCCTTCGTTGGTGGAAATGAAAAGACTTGATGCTGGGTAAGCGCACTGTCCAGTACTGGAATGTGCTGCACTGTACTCTCGAGTACAAGTGCCTGTTACTATGGCCTTATTCCATCTCAGACATCATCAATCCAGTCGACTCCTAGCAGTACGAGTACAGTACAAGTATCAAGTTATAAGGACGGTATAATATTATTAGGTGACTAGGAGCTAGTCTAGTCGTTGCTCGTCCACAAAGTTTGCCGGGGTTAGTACTTAGTAGGAATGGAAATGCCACTAAACCAGATGTCAATTGCTCCTTTCTTTTAATCGGTGGATTGATTTAGTACGAGTACGAGTACAGTACCCGGAGCGGGTCTAGGGCTTCATCCGCTGTAGACTACTCGAGTATAGTAATGATACACCCAAGTTACTCGTACTCGAGTACGATACTGCCTGAAGGCTCAATTCGATAAACTTTATTATCCTGGCATCACCGACTCAAAGCACCAACAAAGACACCCTGCCCAACGCCGCGAATGCAGGTTCTGCGAGGCCCCTTATATTTATTGTTGTATCATAATGATATTGTTATCATGATATAAAAAAAGCATTAAACTCCAATCCTGCAGTCCCCTCCGTCATGAAACCAACCGCATCCTCCAAAAATAAGAAAGGCGGGCGGCAAAGAGGAAAAAAAACAACTAACCGGCAGACACCCAAACAAAGGGAATGAGTTGACTCCTATCATACGACGATTGCTCTCGATCCTTCCTCGACCCAGTCTCACCAGAGAAGGAGGGTCACTTGTAGTTAGCTACAGAAATTAGTATTAGATCGCACTGTACAAAAAAAAACCCCTTCCTTGGTTGAAATTAACAGGGACACAGTCCTGGCATGCTGACCGCCGGGGAGGTAAACATCAACAGCTGGCGGGACGTAAGTATACGAGTAATCGGACGCAGTGCAATACTAGCTATGGTACTCGTACACATCGCCGAGGATTCCAGTTCGTCGAGAGTGTAATAGTAGGCCGAAGACAGCATCAAGGAAGGTATTTCCACCCAGCATGATATCTCACGAAAACTTATCTCTACCGTCCTCACGCCTACCACTCTCCAATGTTTAGACTCTAGCCATTCTTTTCCCTCCGGGGCTTTTCCCATTCTGACCTTTTTCACCCGTGCTATGCTATGCCGCAACGCAATCCGCCCACCAACAAAGTCCCAGGTATCATACCCATCCCAACACCGAATCCCCGCTGCGACGGGTACAACGACTTCCGCGAAACTCTCCCGGAAGATCTGGTGCACGTCACTCAATTCATGCAGTAGTTCTTCTCACCCGCTTGATTCCTACTATCTACGAAACTTCCATCAAAACTTTACCCCACGAAACGAGGAAACAGAGTGCCAAAGACAAAAAACAGACAAAAACAGACAAGAAACCCCCCCCACTTTTTTTGTTTTTTAGAAAGAGGAAAAGAGAGAGAAAAAGCTTAGTCGATATGATCTGGTGTGCTTTGGGCACTGTTGACAGGAGGGAGATGGATGGATGGAGGGGAAAGGAAATGAGGATTCGCGAAGAGGGTATAATGGCAAACTGGATGGGAAAAGAGAGGAAAAGAAAGGAGAAGAAAAAAAGGTCCCATATGTCCTAAAACAATACACTAATGTGTGCAAACCGTTGGCAAGGGAGAGAGTGGTATAACGTTGAGGAAATTAAAGAGAGAAGGAAGGCTCCGTAATAATACACAAAACTAATTCCCATCTGCTTTGACTGGTGCCGTCTCTCACACCAAAACAGTCAAGGAAAATAGGTAAATGATGCGAAAGAATCTACTATTCCATCCATTCAGGCTCCGCCAGGGCCGAAAAAGAATCCGTCGAAAAGATCCATTCCTTGCCCCGCCGCGTTCCCGCTCCCCGCCACGCCCCCCGCACTTCCGCTATCGCTCCACGCATCACCCTCCCAGTCCAGGCTACCAAGTCCGAACGCGGACATATCCAGATTTCCCCAATCTACTGGCTGTGAGAGCTGCGGGTCGATGCTCATCCCGTCCTGATCGACGGGCGGAGATGGGAAGTGCTGTTGCAAGGAGAGTGGAAGTTGGTTGTGCGTGTGTGTTGGAGAAGAGAATGTGAGCGGGTGATGCGGTCCGAAGCTGTGGGATGGTGATAAGGCGTATTGTGGGGAAGGGGCTGATGCAGGTTGGGGATGGTGGGGGTTGCTGGGGTGGAGCTGCTGTTGATTGAAGCGCAGACTTGGGACCGTGTTGCCTCCCCCTCCTGCGGCAGGAGTGAATAATTCGCGAAAGTCTTCATCAAAGTGGGGTTGACATTTACGTTGCTCTGCTTGTTGCTGCTGCTGCTGCTGCTGCTGTCGTTGTTGCTGCTGTCGTTGTTGCTGTCGCTGCTCCTGTTGACGTTGTTCTTGTTGTTTTAGTTCCTGCATCAGTTGATCTTCTTCCTGCTGTTCCCGTGTGGTAGGAGGAGGGGTGGTTGCTGACATGGGCTCATAGCCGTCGTGTTGCCGGGATCCGGCGAATGTCCTGGTCATGCTCTCAAAGTCTTTGGTGAAACCGGGCGCAACATCTTCTATTCCTCCTTCTTCTTCATCATCATCATCGTCATCGTAGTCCTCTTCTTTTAACGTCGTTGGGTGTTGCCTTGACTGCGTCATCCCTGCGCGATTCATCCCTGTTGCTCCAGCAACCCCAGCACTATGTGCAAATGTTCCGGACGGTACAATTTTGCTCATTGGCCCTTGGCCACCTGCTAAGCACATTTGAACAGTTGCACGTGACATACGCTCGAATGCATCACGACAAGCTTCAGCAGGAGGGCATTTGTCCACTAAATCTCCAAGGACAGAGGTAGCAGCTAATATGGTAAAATCTACATCGTCCATGGTCAGGCGTGAACGAACCAATGGAGAATGCCAGATTGTGTAGAGGAAAGAGATCCCTAATCGCAAGTATCAGTCAAGCCAAGCATGGGAAAGTGGGGGGTATAGCCAGGGGGGTAATTACCAGCCATGAACAAGTGGTGGGTAGCAAGGAACGTATAGTTCACCTGGTGGACACGATGGAGTTGCCTATATAGTCGGAGGACCTTGCTTCCCGCCTCCGCGACAGTCAAATAAATCCTCTCCTCCTCCTCCGCACTGACCTTTCCTCCTCCAAAAGCTCGCTCGGCTGCCCTTCCTCGCGAAGAACTTCCGCTGGACCCCAACTCTCCCGCGAGAAGAACCGGAACGGAAAGGCACGGCCGATAGAGCATTATCTTAGCCTGCCAGTAGTTTAGCTGTAAGAACTCGAGGGAGAACGAGACTCCGGTCTGCTCTTTAGATTGCGGGGCTGTGTCAATCCATTCTTTCAGCCGGCGGTCCACATCTTTGTGCCAACACTGCACAGTCTCAAAGTTGCGGAGGAAGGGGGTTTGCAAATGGTATGGATGGTGAGGAGGATAGATATCGCTCCTTGAAGTCTTTGGCACCGGAGGCTCAGCGCCAGGACCGCCAGACGTGCTGGTGAAAGCAAGAGAATGCGACTGTTGCTGCAAGACCTGTAATATTTCGGACTGGAGCAGGCGGAGGCGGAAGTAGTGGTGAGATATTGTCTTGTAGGAAGGCAATTCCTTTCCCGGAGGAGGAGGGGTTATTCCAGCCGTCGGGTGGATGTACTGATCGTCCAGGAGTGACGGAAACTAAGCGCAACAAGAAATTCCCATGTTGGCACATCAACACAGAAACAAGACAACGACATCTTCTTTCCTCCGTTGGGCAATAAATTCAAGGGGAAGGGATGTTAGAACCGCCCACCTGTGTACTGACGACTTCGTCTGAAATTCCAAATGGCCGGCCAACGCAGGTGCTGACCAGTCTATCGAGACTATAGACGCACCACCAAAGACGTCTTCTCAATTCTCTGGACCACTGACGCTTCCCTCTTTTGCCGTCCTTCTTTGCGCTTTTTGCCGCTATTGCCTCCGCGTCCTCGTAATGCAGTCCCAGATCCACGGCGAGCCTCACAGCAACGCCAACTATATACCACAACCCCGGGGAAACTGGTCTGAGCAAAGCATATCCGGCAAGTAGGAGGACAGCTTGGAGTTCCTCAAGGCCGCCCTTGCTCTGGCTCAAGAAGGCTTCTAGGTGCACCATTGCTGTAGCGTGATAGGATTCTGGTTCAAGTTGTTTGAAACTTCTCTTGGGTTTCCTCCCCCCTTCGACCTTGATCTTCGGGGATCCATCGGGGTTCTCTCCCGCTGCTTCATGACGATCATGGCCCTCATCATCCCCATCGTTCGGTCCTGTCAAGAAAATTCCTGCGCCGATGGCACACACAATATTTAGCAGGTACTTTTCTTTGTGAGTCCCGCCGAGCGAGCTCCCATTGACGCCATTGGCCGTGAAGTCCACCTCTTCCTCACTTCCGTAAATCTTATCTATAACACCAGCGAATTCCCCCCGGTGCAAAATGGGTATTTGAGGGTTCGCATACTCGAAATACAGATTTACAAGCCTCTCTGCCAACGTCCTACTAGGGAAGGGAGCAGGGATGATGGAAGGTTTAGTGTGCAAGCCGAAAAATGATCCGCCCATCTGTGTGTCTTCGTCGCCATCCTGTACCAATTCCTCCTTCGGCCCGCCAATCCCTAACCCTCGAGCGCCCTTGATCCTTGTGCTCGACCCAATCCTCGGCCGGAATCGCCTGGGCCCAGATGACCCGCCCTCGCCACCCGTCCCATTTTGATCACCGCCCGCCCCCGAAGCGCTACTCTTCACAGCGGCAAACACCACCCTCGCGAAGGAGATTCCGGAAGCGGAACCCAGATACCTCGGGTCACTCGCGCCAGCAAAAGAGACAAGACCAATATCAGACACGAGATTGTCTAGCTTCTTATCCTCCGTGTTTTCTGGGTTATTGGGGAGGGGCTTGCGTTTGACGTCAGGCTCCTGCATGGGTCCACCCGCAGTGAGTGCCGGATCGATGGGGGTCAGCAATTGCTGCGAGGATGGGCCCAGCTGGGCAACCGGATTTGCTGTCGCTATGGGCGGTGACAGGAATGACGCCGTCGTGGGAGTTTGAGAGGGGGGAGGGGGCGGCGGAGCCAGGTCCGGAAAAGATTCAGCAGGCGGAAAGGGGATACTGTTGTTTGCCAACAGCGACTCGAGATAGGCCAGTCTGGTCTCCAAGTAATGGACATAGCTATAATTCACTCAACCGTCAAAACCGACTCCATGGGAGAAATCGCTTGAGGGGGGAAAGGGATTCTTTATCTATTTTTTTCAGACGGAATGAAGATTGGAAATGACGAGAGGTAAAAAAATAAAAATAAAAAAGTTCGCCAAAACAAACCTCCTCGGTATCTCCCTCTTAGTAATCGGATCATACCCCACACACTTTACATTGGCCTTCTCGCAGCTCAAGCAAGCCGGCAACCTCTGATCGCACCGATTCTTTCTCAACCGACACCGATTGCAGGCGGACACGTTCCGAAAAGACGAAGATCCCGAAGTCGCCACCGCGGCCGTCGCCGTGACCGGCTTCACAACTTGTGCCGGTACTACCCCAACCGCTGGTGGCGGAGAATCCAAACTAGCGGGCGGAGCATGCGACCCATCGTCATTGGCGTGCTTTCTCCTACGCTTGTGAACTCCTGAACTCGTGGCCGTGGCCGTACCCGTGGTGGTTGTCGCGGCGGAGGAAGTTGGGGAAAGGGACTTTGTGGTCATTTTCTTGGGGTCCGGGGTTCTTGGGCCATGAAGATATTTTTGAACGGGAAATTGATGTGTGGTGGAGAGATTTAGAGGTAGTGGAGGTGAGGGAGGGTAAGTAGGTGAGGGGGGTGGGGTGTCAGACGGATGGGTGGATGGGTAGGGTGGAGGTGGATAAGCGGACGACCGTAAGTTGGGGATTTTCTGATGAGTTCCCGGTGTGGAAGATGGGTTGGAGGGGTGTTGGGTCAAGATAGCTATTGGAGAATTCTGTACCCGGGGTGTAGTTCCGAGTACAGTACCGTCCACGAGTAGGGTAGGGTTTTCCTGGTCGATAGCGCTCGCTCGCAGATGATAAAAAAGAAAAGGGAAAGAGAAAGAGAAAATGAAAGAGCAGGCGACGGGAATGGATTAATCAGATTGTGCTGCACAAGGATTGTACTCGAGTATTGTACGAGTATAAGTTAGTATTGTGCTCGCACAGTACATTACTCGGCAGCGCTCTATTATTACTGCACAGTAGAGGGTTTGCGCAAGGGGACCTAGGTGGGAGGAAAACCGGTTATCTCGAGTTAAGCTAAAAGTCAGGGTCACCCAGGTGGGTGGCGCCACCTGGAATAAGTGTAAATACTGGCTTCGAAGACCTGAAGAACTCTCATCAGTTCATACCATGACACTGGTGAAAGAAATACCGTATCAAATCAATACAAGTCAACTTTGAATACCCAATACATACAAAATGCAGTCTCCTTCCACTCCTGACCAGAATCATACCTATTTTCTTTCCTCCTTTGAGTCAGCCACTACAGCCAGTTCCACGACTGTGGAAGAGTCAGCCGCCGATAACTCAAGATCGAGCAATTCTCCTGCAACTATACGCCCGGGGCGGAAAACAACAAAATGGTCAGCATGGATGGATCGAGCACTGGTACGGCAAGTGTTAGCCACAGATCCTATAAACTGTGGTAGAGGGAGGACTACTGCGAAATGGGCAGAGGTTTCTACAATTTTAGGAAGTATAGAACCTCAACCCATATGTCGTAGTGGAGAGTCCTGTCAGCAGAGAGTTAAAAAACTTGTTGAAATATATAAGGTATATTAGAAATATAAAGTACTTATAGGAGATTGTGAATAAGGAAAGAATTAGAAATCCGAACTCATCTCGTTGAGAAAGACCAGTATCGATGAAGAATTCGGAGAGTTTGAGCTCAATATGGTAGAGCTTGCAACCCGATGGGACCAGTCCAGTACCGATCCTGAGACACGAAAGGCTGCACAACTGAAAGCTGCACAACTTGAGGCGGACGGAAAGCGAGTCCGGGAGGATTCTATGCGAGGGTTAGTCTGGGAGAGAGAAGACAATATCGGAGTAGGGCATAGGGATAGTGGAGAGGGGGTAATGCCGGCAAAAAAAAAGGCAAAGAATGTAATGGTAAAAGATGTGGATAATGTTTTATATGAGTTTAAGGAGGGAATGAAAAGAGATGGAGACGAGTTGAAGGAAATTGAAAAAAGAGAGGATGAAAAGCATCAAGACTTGATGCATGCAATATTGGGACTTACAGATGAGATGAGGGAACAGAGTGAACGGCGGTCTCATGATGTGTATTTGGAGCGCGAGGCAAGGAAAGATGAGTTGGTTTTAATATTGGAAGCATTAAGGAAGGATAATGAAATTTAATTTTTATATCCTTCTAATATTGAGGGTAAAGACAGGAGGTATATATCATAAAAATGAATGAATACATCGTCCAATTCTGTCATTCTTCTACCAATCCCCTTACATATTAGTTCTATTCTATTTCTACATATTTCCCACTAAAACTATCTTAAAAGCTCAGAAACTGTATTTTTACAATCTTGATTTCAATAAACCCCGCCCGTTCAGCTCTCTACACGGTGCATTCTTCTTCGGGACTGTTGAGATTGTAGCTGGTTTGGTAGAGATTGGAGATTATGATATCAACCAGGAAGACTATACCAGTACCATACCTCTAATGTAGGCCACTTGTAATGAGCACAAGGGGGTGGTGAGAATACTATATAGACGGATCAATGTCAGTCCCAACAAGCCAAATAACAATAGTTGAATACAACTCTTGTGGACCACTTGCAATAGGCATGAGGAAGTGGTAAAAATGCTAATGGGACGGCTGGACGACATCAACCCTACGATAGCCAACATATATTGTGATAAATTATACATTTAATTATGAAAATACTCAAGCAATAGAGGGGGTTCAAGTAGTTCCTCTTCAATAAACTCTTCCTGCTCATTACCTCTATTATTATCTTGGATAACATTAAAATACTGAGTGACTTGAGGCCTATGAAGGCATACATGAGCATTATGCAAGAGTGCAGCTACTCTAAACTGCACTGCAACAGGTTGAAGTAAATGCTTTTGACCTTTAACATAATCCAAAAATCCGAACATGTTTACCATCTCTTTAAAGGCCCATTCAGCTACAATTCTTACTCGTGACATCGAACGATTCCAAAGCCGCTGATTGTGAGATATCCAAGCGCCTTGATATGGTGAAAGAAGATGGTTACTGATGCTATAGGCTGGATCACCGTAGAGTTGGAGGGGGGTACCATCAGGCATATGTGCATACTGTTCCAGAATTGCTGGTAGGTTTGACTCCTGCCACAGAAATGCATCATTTCTTCGGCCATCTACTGGGCCAAAGAGATGGCTAATCAAACTATCAGGAGTAATAATGGCATGGTACTTCAAGCAGTGCTTGCGCTCCCAGCCATTATAACAGGTATGTTGTCGGTGAGAAGGGCATACAATTCCTCGAATCGTGCTATCGATAAAGCCCCAAACTGTTCTGATCGGTGCACCTTTCCTTGCTATAACAGATGCATACTGAGCTAACTTATCGGGGGTCAATCGTGCAGCATCCCACTCAAGTAAGTGTTTCCACCTATCATGAATCATTGACTGTACTGTGCTGCTAATACGAGATATGCGCTCAACTGGCCCGCCAAATTTCAAAGCCAGGTCACTCAGACGATTGGGGTATGCTAATTGTGCACGTAGTATACAAAGCGCAGTTCGGCGATTCTCAATAGTATGGTTGTCGGCTCTGATGGTTTCTGGTAGCTGTAAGGCCTCTACCAGCTGTTCAATTTCACATCTCATAAAACTTTATTTGTAAGTCTTCTCCTTCCCTTTTATTTTAATGTACAATCATGATCTCTAAACCTACCAAAATAGATTTTGCCACTCCTGCTCTTCCAGCATATCCAAGTCAATTCGTCCTCCTTTTCAAAGCGCTCCTCTCTTCCGAATGTTACTTTGTGTAACTGCTGTCCTCAGGCGTAATAAGGCTTCAAGTTGTCGTGCATTTCGCTTGTATTGGAAACGTGAGGCTAGCATTCTTGAGTATGTTTGAGTTGCTTGATGTCAATTGTGGGTTGTTGTTTACACTTTTTAGATATATTATTCCAAGACTATGTGTTCATTCTGCCGTCATCTATAATCACCACCTAGACCTGTTGCGCAAACTTATTTTTCCACCTAGGTCTATTTTCTGTTAACCGCCACCTAGGTCCCCGTGCGCAAACCCTCTAGTACGATACTTGTAACTTGTTGAAACCTATCGCGCTGGTACGAGTGCTCGCACAGCCGTGTGTCTATCATGGATTTCCCACAAATCACTTCTCGTCTCTCTCACGAGGAACGCCCATCTTCTCTTTCTTCGACCAAAAATTCCTTGCCGCCCCCGGCGCCCGGCACGCTGGTCACGGCGCTGTTGCGTTCAGGGAGATGCGCGGTATGGGGGGATTCCGTGTGAGTGAGATCTGGGACGGGACACCCGACGCAGCTCTCTCCCTCCTGGGTGGCCGGCTGCTTGCTTGCTTGCTCGTACTTGCTTGCTCGCTTGCTCTGATTCGAGTTCGAGATTAAATCTGTGTCGCTGTACTAGCAGGGTGGGTCAAAGCAAGGTACAAGAAAGCCTGTCTAAATGTTGGAAGGCGTAAATGGTGGGCAATTTGGCAAAGAAAGGGCACACCCTTTGGCTCCAGCTACCGTATGCCACTGTACCAGTACCGTGGCCTTTCCCTCCGCAGAGATAGGTATTTGGATGATGTGTCGGTGGTCCCGGACGATATCGTGGCTGCTTGGGCCGTGATATTACGACATGAAGCCAATTTGGAAACCACCGCCGTGAAGATTGTGGAGAAGGCGAACATGTTGTGCGGCTCTGACCTGTAGCCCCATGGTGGAGAACGGTATTCTGGAACACAACGAGGGGCTATCATTGGCAGCGATGAGTTGATATGATACCATTACTCCAGTATCATACTTGGAGTCGGGATGCACCATACAGTACGAGGTGTACAGCATAGTACTGTACAAGTATAAGTTAGTACTCGTGCTTGCATCTGATGCCTTGGAATGCGCCAAATTGTTGAACCACTTTGAAGATTGGCCGCTTCGCGCTGGTTGGCTGGTGGGGGCCCTTTCACTCCCCGCCCATCCCGCATATGATACCGGCAAAATCGACCTTCTATCATACATCACATCTTCCACCACAGAAAACCTTTTTTGCGAGACACCTTCGGCATGCGCACAAATTCAGCATGCGCACAAAGATGGCGATTTTTATGTTTATTTCCTCTACACCTTCATTGGGGATATTTCTGCTGCTGCAGGTCACCTGGGCGCAAATTAAATATAAGGACGGAGCGACAACAAATAGTCGCCGACTATCATACTATGGAGACTTTTGTAGCAGCCACGATGATATCTGCAACGGTATCACGAACTCTAAACTACAACTAGACCTGAAAGTCGCAATCAAGCCTGAAACAGATTATATTCCCACTTTTATCACAATACAGCGCCTTATTTTCATATATCATATATATATATATGTCCTTTTGCATCTTCATGTCAACAATCATTCTCCCCAACCAACCTTGAACCTTGGTGAGGCAGACTGCCCAGCATTACTTGACGAGACTCACTCCAGCGAGGTTTGACAGGTTGTGAAGAGCGAGTAATATGATACGCTATCCACAATAGGTAGACCATCATCTTTTCCCATGAATTATCAGCGAGGTTCCGCACCATCGCACACTATCTATCCCAGGACATGTACGGCACTTGGCACGATATAACACTTTCCTTCCCTCCGCCTCCGGGTTTTGTCGAAGGGTTTTGGTAAACCAAACACTCGAGGAATCGCCGGTACCCTGGTGGGGGCTAGCTATTCTCGATTCCTCACTGCATCATTCATACCGGCACCTTCTACAGTTGATGCTACATTATCCGCCACAAAGCGTCACCATAATACCGGTAACTAAACTCATGGTTCTCGCCACGGGGAAAAAAATAAACGCAAAATTCCCACAACCATCGCTCTTCCCAATGGAACAATTGCCCTCGCAGCAAGACAATAGGCGCGAGGTATCAGACTAGAACCTTGTCGATAATTTTTTTTCCTTTTCCCTACGATCCAATCTCCGCAGCAATATCGCTGACGCTGACAATAGC